AAAAAAAAAAAAAAAAAACCAACAAAAAACAACCCTGCTCTCAGACACATGGAATTCCCATTGATGAGCTCTGGCCAACACCAAACGCTGCATTTTCCTCATTAGACATAAAGCTCGGGGTGAGCACCTCGGGAGCAGGAGAAGGGCTGAGGACAGGGCTCTGCACGATTTGAACTCTGACCCCCAAGGTCAAATGGCTGATGTTCCAAAGGCTCCTCTTCTACCCTCCTCCTGCCTCCAAGCTCCTTCCTGACAAAGAACGAATCTCTGCTACATACAATAAAGCCCTGGTGGATTTACCCAGATTAGAAAACCCCTTGAAGTACCTGTCAAAACTAATCTTCTCAGGAGAAACACTTGTTGATAACCACTCGGCTTTGTGCAGTGGCAGGAAAGACCAGGCAGCAGGGAAAACCTGGCCCCTGGCCTCCCCGTCTCCACAGGACACTGGGCACCAGACGCCCCTAGCCTCACAGCACCCCCACAAGCGCTCCCGGCACTCCCTGCAAGCCCTGCTCCTGCTTTCACTGGGTCCGGGCTCCCCGCTCAGTCTCCCAGTCTGAGGCTCAGACTCTGCAGCTTCCCAAACTAAGGGCCCTGGCCAGGCTCCAGCCTGCCCTCCTCCTCAGCCCTGCGGTTTAACCCTTCACCCCGCCTGGGCCTGCCTTTCTGGTCTTCTGCAAACTTTGCCAGGCGCCTTGCCAGGGGTTTTCCTCCACACAACCGGCCCTAAGAAATCATGCATACAGATTTCCCTCTACAGGTGGTTGTGAGCTGTAGCGGTTTTTGCTCTTGCAATGAAAACATCTTATTTTTTTTACATCATTTTACCCACTAATAATGTTTTTAACAAAAAAAATATTGAGCTTATATCCACTAAAGACTTACCATTTTCTCCAGATAGTGGGAAGAAAGATGATTAAACTATCTAGACAAGAAATAATGCCACCAGCATCACCAGCACCATGCCGTGCTGTGCCCTGACTCTTTACCTTCCCCTAGACACCCCCCCCCACACACACTTTGTTCTGACTTCACGAAGCCTTTTTGGAGTTTAATCTTCATGTGTAAAATAATGAAAAGAATGAAGACACTGATTAGTCCCAAATATGGCAAAGTGGAAGAACCACTTGCTCAGTACAGAATCCCCTCCACCCTCCCAGCCCTGCATCACAGAACACGCTGGGTGGGAGGCAGCCCCGCCATCCCTCCCCGGTTCACACCAGGGCTGTCCTCCAACTGGCATGCTCCTGCAGAACCCTCACACAGGATCCCAGGAGAGTGTGCCCGACAAGTCCAAGCAATTTGTGCAAATATTACTGTTCAACGAAAAAGACAGGAATCATGGCCAGTCACACGGATTGACTCCTCCAAACATTCAGCAACTGACATCATAAACTTTGCAAAAGCCAAACACAAGACAGTGCACGGAATAACCTACCTTGGCGAGCTCCTTCACTTTTTGTGCAAATGTTTTCCCCTCCGCATGCTTTACACAGATTTCTAGGGAAATTTGGAAGGACTGCTGAGCGGGTGGGAGAGGTGAGGGAATGAGGGTAATATAAATAAGGAAGCATCTCAAATGCACCACGCAAAAAGCTCGGGATTTCACGTTATGTGTCTGCACTCTTCCCGGAGCAAAGCAAAACAGTTCGTTCAGTGCCAGACTTGGAGGGAGAGGGAGAAAAGAGCGGGAGGGGGAGAGAGGGAGGAGAAAGCGGACGGGAGAGGAAGAAAGAGGGTGGGGGGATGCTGACGGAGAGACAGAGAGAAGGGGGAAAGGGAGGAGAGGAGCCTTGAGGGGGGACGGAGAGGAGAAAGGAGGGCAGAGCTCGAGGGATGGAGAGAGGAGGCAGCCCCCTCCCACGCTCCCACCCCCACACATTCAGGCACCTCCCGAGTAACTGAGCAGAGCAAAGAACTCATCACCCACGTTCGAAAACCGCGATCAGGGACTAAGTCCCCAGTGCACACACTCTCTGCCTCTATTTATAGACACACCCTAATGCTATGCATTGCGTTGTGAATGTGAATGCATGTGTGCGTGCACACTACATACGGTTCTTCTGACAGGTATGTTTTTGTGTGTATGTGTACTGCAGTGTGATTGTATCGGTTTGGATTTTTTTTTTTTTTTTTTTTTTTTTTTTTTTTGCATCATGAAAACCTGCATCGATTTTGAAGATGTCCTGGAAAAATGGTGGGGGTCTCAGTGCTTACAAGATCCGGGCCTTTTTTTCCCCCCAGCAAAGCTGAGATATTTGCAGAGTTGGGGCTGTTTGGAAAGGCTCCAGCTCTGGCTTGGTGTAGCACGCCCAGTTCCAGCAGTGTGTGCTATTGACCTGCATTGACGTCAGTGCGTCATTAGGTCTCCCTTAGAAACACTGACTTTCAAAAATAGTATCAAATTAATTCAGTTGGAGCCCGGCGAAGAAAGGCTACTAGCTAGAATCAGCCATAAAACTCCAAAATTTTCAGCCCTACATCTTTCCTCCTTTTTTCTAGGAGCCAAATAGAAATCAGATTGTATGGAAAATGCCATTGATAAGATTTTGTTTTCTTAAGAAAAGGGACCAAATTAGATTGCAAAACCCAGAGCTGCCTCTTTTTTTTCCCTTTCCCCTTTTTTTCTGATCTAAAAATAACTCCCTGCTTGAGCTGACTGCGGTATCTTTTGTGTTGCAGCCCTCTGTTTTTAGCAGTCTAGCCCCAGTGAAGGTTGGAATGCAAGTAAAGACATTGATCTATTGATATTTGCAAAGCCAGGAATTAATTTTAATGAAACAGGTGTGCTTCATCGTGGTGGTGGGTACTGCAGTGGAGGGTGCCATGGGAGAGATTTATGCCATTCACACCTTCCTGGTTTCATTTTTTTCCAATTCATTTTTTCAAAGACATAATTCCCACCCCACGTGTCTCACGTGGCCTCTGACCAGCACATGCAACCCCCATTCATACAAACACAAAGCAGCAGTGCATTCACACTTAGCAGAGACGGTACATTCATAAGCTAGGGCTCTGGGATGTTCTTCTTCCCTCGGCTGCTTGGCAGGAAAGACACAGAAGCCCCCCAAGCAGGACTGGGTTTAAAACAAGCAATCTGAGGATCAGACTGTAATATTAAGATCTGTATTCATTAAGAATCTTTTTCTTGTGGGGGAGCACTTGCCCACTTCACATAACTAACAGTGTAGTTTTAATTGGTGTATTTCACACTCTTTCATTATATATATGCCTAGGATATACATGTGAATACAGAGTGGTTCCCCCAGGACAGCAAATTTGGTAACACTCCACTTTCAGATCTTTGCAGGGGTATTTGATTTTTTTTCTATTTTCTGAGGATGTATTTGTTAATTGTTTGTGGTCTCTGTTTCCCACATTTCTTGTTTCTCAATCCTTTCTCCCTGCCTCACCCTCTTCAAAGGAGGTGCACTTGTGCCTTTGGATGATTAAAGAATTTGATTTCTCTGACCTGTTCTGTCTTTGGCCTGGGCTGAGACTCTTAATGAGGGGACTAATTAGGGCCATTGTGTACAGAGGCCCTTGCAGATGACAAGGGGTACGGGGACCCTGGGTGGATGAAGAAAGTCCAAACACATTTAAACCATATGACTTAAAATAAAGTGGGCCTGAGGCTGGGAATGTAGCTCCGTTGGCAGAGTGTTTGCCTAGTATGTGCAAGGACCTGGGTTTGGTCCATGGCACCAAAAAACAAACAAACAAACAAACAAACAAACAAAAACCAATTTCAGGATTTTCCATTTCTGACCACCTAATAATTTTTTGTTTGTTTGTTTTTGGTAGCGGTGATCAAACTCAGGACCTTGTGCTTGCAAGGCAGGTGTGGCATCACTGAACTAAATCCCTGGCCCTACCACCCAATAATTTTTGCTTATCATTTTTTTAATAGTTTATTTTATTTTATTTTTGTTTGTCTTTCTTGGAAGGGTTTTTTGTTGTTGTTGTTTGTTTTTGTTGTTGTTGTTGTTTTTTGTTTTTTGTTTTTGGTACCTGGGTTCCAACTTGGGATCTTGTGCTTGTGAGGCAGGAAGCAGAACCACTGAGCTAATACCCCAGCCCTGCTTATCATTGTTTTGTGAAAGAATGAGGCCTTTTTTTCCATTCCTTAAAATCTGGTTGGGAAAGGATAACTGGTGAGATCTGGTGGACCTCAACGGGTCATACAGAGACAGAACCAATCAAATTCCAACATGTCAGGCTAGATGGTCAGGGGAGGAAGGTCAGAGAAAACCATACACCAGCTACTACCTATGTGTTCCTTGCTCAGCCCGAAAGAAAGAGGCACTGAGGGCCACTCGGTTGGTGGTGGAGCTAAAGTTTATCTAAGGACAATTGCTGGTGACTGGAGAAGCAGTCAAATGATGACTGCCTAGTGTCTCCCTTTGTCTTTCTCCCTTTCTCCTCTGGGGCTTCAGAGAGAACAAGGCACTTACCAATGGTTCCTGTTACCCCAGCAGCAGCAACAGCAGCAGCAAAGGGAGGGGCTATGAGAAAACGAAGTCTTCCCCTTTCCTGCCCCCAGGCTGATGCACAGAGACTTCAGTAACTATGACACTGATCTGTAGATGCTTTCAGCCATCAAGGCACCTGCAAACCACTATCCTAGCTTATGAAGGCTCCCATACACCCTCCTCACAAATGTATTCATTCACAGAACCTATAGTCATTCATGCACCTGCATTCAAACACATTCATTCATTTTTTAACCACAACTGCAGCCACACATTCACCTGCAAAGGCTGGACAAGTGTGCACAGCAGGAGCATGACTTCAGAAGACTGCGTTTCTAACTCCCTCCACAGACACATAAGCAACACACACACACCCTCACTCTTTGGGTTGCTTCTTTCTCCTAGGGGGTTTCAGCTCTGAAGCATACAAAATCCTGGCAAGAATAAATTTTTGTCATTCAGACAGGCAAATCTCTAGCTGCATCAAAACCCACTGACCTCATCCATGATCAGATCAGGGACAAGATGCCCAAGCACTGGCAGAGATGCAAATGCCTAGGTGGATGGGAGGAGGTCAGTTCTTTTGCTGGCTCGGTTTTCCTCATTTGGCAGTCCAGTGAATATACAGAAGGCCAAGGGAAGGGCTTGCAGTGTGGCTCAAGATTGCACAATGCCCCATTTGGCCTACTCAGATCTGGTCCTCTGGGGAGAAGTGACAGCAGCGGAGAGCAGTCAGTCAAGTGCAGCAGGAGCCAGGACTCTGCATTCTGGGGTCTGGCGAATCCTTGTTAGTGTAAGTTGGTGCAGAGAATGTTAAACTGGGGACTCCATGTGCCCTTCAGACCAGCCCTGCACCCTCTGTACCTGTTCCGCGCTTTGAAAGGCTCACCTCTAGGGAACTCCATCAACAGACCCTCTTGATCTCTGCTTCAGCTAAAGGAGGGGCAAGGCATGCCAGGGAAATCCAAAGGTAGGAGCACGACACAGAAGGATATTTATTCCCCATCTCCTTCCTGGCCAAGTGAGATGCTGCCTGTGGCTGTGACCCTCGACTAAAAACACAGCTCCTGTCAAGTGTCTCTCTTGAACAGCTACAGTCACGGCTCTCTCCAAACTCTCTGTGTGTGTGTGTGTGTGAGTGTGTAAACCTATACCTAGACCAGTGATCCTCAAATTCTCCAGATCTGCAGAACTCTTAAGCAGGACAAAAATCCACACATATCATTGATGCCTACTGGCTACCCTCCCACCAAATCTCCCATGAAAATGCTGGAAAGGTGGTGTATATTTTCTGACATCAGCCAAAGGGAGCTTTTGCAGTTAAGTAAAGGAAATCATAGAACACATCCTGCTGGGGGTTTTGCAATACAATGAGCAGATAAGGATAGCTGGAGATGCGGGCCATAGCCTAGATGTTTACCAGCTTTGTGATCATGGGCAAGGTGTTTAATTACTCTAGGCCCTAGTTTCTTCCTCTGCAAATGAGGATCATAATCATAATAATCATAATAACACCCACCCTTACATTTGTTATGAGGATTAATAAGGTGATGCACTGAAAGTAACCCACGATACACAGCAGCTGCTTAAAACTACCAGTACCACTATAAGCATGCATTCTATGAGGCCTCTAGAACTTTTCAGTTTTTAGACCATGACCAACAAAGTAAGATATTTATTGCATACTATGACCTGAAGATATGCACAATTGAAAAATAACAAAACCCGAGGATCAGATTAATGTCTGGCTGAGTCAAAAGCGCCACACCCATCTCTCCTGAGAAAACTCCGAGGCCTATTAGGGCTGGAATAATCCACCCCCTCGCGTGTGTAGAGATCTGATCTTAGACAGATAAACTGTTCCTCTCAAAAACCTCTAAAGTCCTGACTCCATTCACTCAGCGCCTAAAGCATATGATCCAAAAACTAACATGTGGCCAATAAGGATGTGCCAAATATCTCGACTCCACCCTGGTTCCACCCCTGCCTTACCCTACCCAATAGCGACCCAATAGCGCCACCCTGGCTCCACCCACCACCTTACCCTATATAAGCCTGTGCATTTCCTGACTAAATCGGAAGCTTCCAGAAACCTCCCTGGAGTCTCTGTGGTGACTTCACACCTAGCCCTCCCAGTCCGGGCCCCTGAACCTTTTTCTACAAGTGGGCTCAGGATGAAAACAACAAAAACCTGCAATGAACTCTGATATTTCCTCGTTTGCTCTACTTCATCAAAAT